AGGCTTGACAGATCGTTAGATCAGCACTCCTCACTATTTAAAATACCTGTTCACCCGGAGCGGTTCAGCGCCAGGCAGCATTGGCTCCATTGGGATCTATGTCCGTAGGAGGTCTACTCTCGACTAGGGTGACCCAAGGATCACTCATCCACTTCCGGAACGCGTCCCTCAGAGACCTGGATCTCTTAGTCAAGACGTCTGCCAGCTGCTGCTCGGTTGGCACCCAGCGTAACAGCCTGCACTGCTGTCGGAGGGTGGCGATGCTGATCTCCACGCGCTTCTCGGCAAAGGTAGTGCTGAGCCTGTGTATGGCGTCCCATAGGCTCCGAGCGTCCGTGACCGGCAGGACCTCGATGATCGGCACCTCGCGGAGTGTAGCCGTGTAGCGACCGCCCACCATCTCGGACAGCATGGTCGCCAGGAAGTTCCCGTAGTCCTCGGCCTTGTCCAAAGATGCCGCTTCAGCAGCCAGTGTTGAGCGCAAGACTCGCTGGTGGCGGTACGATTTCCACTCCAGCAAGGACGCTCTCTGGGGAGTCTGGAGGACTTGCTTACTGGTAGCAACCACAACCAAACCGCCCTGGGACTTGCCTCCGGGATTCGCCCAAGCTGAGTCACCGTACGCGATGAGGAGCATGTCCGCAAAGTCGATCGGGATCAGCTTGTAGTAGGCGCCGCTCGTTGCCCTGACGTACCTGAGAACGCTGTTCACTTCCAGGAGGTCGGCGACGGTCAGCTCGCCGGAGGGCTTCTGCAACAAAGAGGTGTCCGCCGCGATGTCGCCCCTGGTGGTACCCGCCATCCACTGAAGGCTGCCTATGCCGGACCTGAACTTGGTGATCAACTCCGGGTGGTCGCTGAGCTTCTCCTCGGCCGGCATGCTGATCTTGGTAATGGGAACCTCGGCCACATAGCTCGCCTGATCAACCGTAAGGGACCAATCGTCGTGCTGTTTGACGTGGCGGCCCACGAAGGTGAACTCCTTGGACTCCCAGTCACTGCCCCATTCGAAAGAGTTCTTGAGGGCTTCCAGGGCTGCTTCCCGGCCGTGCAAGACTGACATAATCATGTCATCCACGTGAACTCCGAGGACGCCGGTTATCTTCATAGCCCCGTCGACTTCCTCTCGGTAGAGCCACAAGCAGGGGTCCAGCGTATGGGCAACCCAGCCCAGACTTGTCAAAGTCCGAGCTACGTGGATGTACCAGCACCTAGGCGCGTTTGCCTGGCCGTACACCGGAGCGGACAACTTGTACAGCAAGCTCGCCTCGGACCATTCCTTGACCGCCTGTTTGCTCACTGGGTCGCAGGGGGCTTTCATATAGATGGCTTGCGGGCGTTCCTCATCCGGAGCTCCTTGTAAAAAGGCCGATTTGCAATCCCCACTGAACAAAGGAACCCTCAGAGACGTAGACCATTGAAGGATGCAATGTAGTCCCGCTCGCGACAAGACCGGGGAGTCCCTGCTAAGGAGAGGTAGGTGCGGGTCGCGGTACCCCGCGATCACGATCCTCGCCTTC